GGAGGCAGGGGATTTGAGGGAGTGATAAAAGGAAAAGGGATTGAGGCAGGGGGTGGGGCCTTTCGAAAAATTACTGTGCTTTGTTGGGTTGGTTCTGAATCTCCGGCAGAATTTGTGATTGACCTCCGCTGTGGATCGTAATGAGAGCAAGGCTCGAGTCTGAGTGGATGAAGCAGTGTGTGGGGGTCTGGCCCAAGCCCACTCGGGTTACAGCCCCAGAAGAGCCATAATGGGGAACAGGCACATTCCTGTACAGCGACTCCCAACTCCCTATCTGTTTTCAAGGAAAGAAAAACAGAGAAAGAATGTTAGAATCTTGGACAAGCATGGGCTAGGCGGTGGCAACAGCAGCCCCGTCTAGGAGGGTCCTGCCACACAGCCATAACATACCAGAGAGGAGGGGACAGGGGTAGCCTAACCTGGGCAGAGTTTCCTAGTGGAAGGCACATGGAGCTCAGAAGCAAATAGGTTTGATCCTCGACTCTGCCCCAGAGTGGCTGTGAAGCCTTGAATTGGGGGTTGGGGGGTGGGGTGCAACATTCCTGAACCTCTGTATTTCTTCTACCAGAGAATGTGGCAGGGTTTTAGGATTCAAACATTTTAAGCAGTAAAACTTATAAGCCAATATTTTTAGAACAGTTTTTTGTCCCCAACTTAAATAAAACGTGACCATCAGTATATACAATAGATCAAACTGGCGTTGATCTGGCTTGAAGTTGGTGTGGGCACAGAGGAGACAGACTTCAGCCCCCACCACGTCTGCCTCTCCTTCTCCACCCTGGAGTTCTGCATGTCCTGATGGGCAAGCCGCTGCTAGAATATAGCACGTGTTGGAAACCTCTTGAACTACTTCTGTCTCTCCTGGGCTTTTTATCTTTCTCAGAGGAGTCCAAGTTTAAGAAGATGGCAGGGTGGAACTGTGTGTCTTGCACGGTGCCTGGCACAAAGTAAATCTAGCTCACGTTCATGTTGAAGGTAGTTGGTCAGAAATTCAGAGCAAGGTCTTCAGGTCTCAGCGGGTTTCTCTCAGAGGCTAATAGGAATCGCCACACAGGCTGTAAGGGCCAAGAGATGAAATGTTTGTTCCAAGCGGACCTCCCACTTTGCGTATGGCCATGGACATGATACTTTCCTTCTCTAAGCCTCAATTGTCACCTGGAAAAGGACAGGATAAAAGATTGGACCAAAAAAAAAAAAAAAGTTCTAAGGGCCCTTATCTTCTCTCCTCTGATATGATGACAGTGTTATCGAAAACGATAATTAACACAATAGTTAACATATCTTTGAACCCTTATTGTATGTCAGACACGGTGCTAATTGATTTGTAAGCAATAGATGCAATATTTTATGTGATATTCACAACATTGTACATTAGATACTATGATTCTATCTGTTTTACATATGAGGAGATAGATGGAGGGAATCAAAGAACCTGCCTGAGGCAAGCCATAAGTGGGGGTGAACCAGGATTTAACCTTAAGCAGTGTAAATTCAGAGCCCAGCCTCTTAACCACTGTCCTGTAGTATTGTTCATTTGATTGTCCCATTGCCAGACTTGGGGTATTGTGGAGCCCCAGTGCATGTGTTGAACTGCACTGATTTGCATTTGTGCACAGAGAAGATCTTCCTTAGGACCCCTTCCAACAGGTGAGGAAGTGAAGGATCCCCTCATTCACCTGTCTCCATCGAAATTACATTTAAACCTTCTGGAAGACAGTGCCAAGAAAAGCGATCTTACAACTTACTCTGTCGGTCTGTTCTTGTCTTTCAGAACCCTTCCTCTTGTCACACTACAAACTGTAGGTCAGGAAATATTTCTTTCATTGTTTCACTCCCCAAGCTAAGAGAGTGACACGCTTCAATTGCAAACTGAACAGAATTGAAAACCTCACTTTCGAACACTGTTGTTTTTAAACTTTCTCTAGGAGGCAGCATAGTACAAAAGAAATAGTATGGCTTTCCAGTTAGGAGGATACAGGTTCAAATCTCAGCTCTGTCCCTCCTGAAATTTGTGAGCTTAATCCCAGCTTTACAACAGAGATGCTAACATTTAACTCCTTAGGATTGGATGCTGTGATGATTAAATGAAACAAAGAAGAGTTGGCCGTGTGTCATTTCCTTTCCTTTTGACACTTTCCATGCAAAGGTCATCATGTCGATGCAGTCCCGAATACAACTGGGTGCTGTATGTCCTTATAGTGTCCTCCATATGACTAGTTATGTGTTCCATGCTATCCGGTTTCTTCCTTCGAACTAAATCTTAAACCTTAGAGCTGTGTGCCTGTCTTACTGACCTGTCAGGCATGTTATAAAGCTTTTATCCAGGGTCCAATTGTTCTGAAATGCATTGAAACATCTGGAAAGCTATGCCCATTTGTGAATAAATGTCAGCCATATTTTGGCTTGAAACCGTTAATACTGGCCACAGAAATCCTGAATTCCCTCATGAGGGGCCAACTCTTTCAATGGCTATCTAGAAACAAATTGAGAAGCAGACAGACGTGGATCCAAGCTCAGAGAAAACAAATGTAAGTTGCCAAACTTAAAATCCTAAGAAACCACGAGAGACAAAGCCCTTACTCCAGTGAGTAATTCTATGTTTTTCCCCCTTTTCTTCATTTTTCACCGTATATGTTGCTCTGCTTTGGTAGGTATTGGAAGAGAGCCATTGTCTGTTTATGATTTTACTGTGGAAGAAGCTGACATTAGAGGCCTGTGAAAGAAATAGAGGATGCCAACATCCTTGATGAATAAAGCTTTCATTTACCTTTTCGGTTTCCAACTGCTGGTTCTAGATGACTGCCGGTCTAAGAATCTCTTCTTAGATTCTTTCATTCTGGACTCCAAACTCAGTAACAGTTACTGATCCCATATTACAGAAGGGAAAACTGAGACTTTCAGAGGTTAGGAGACTTGCAATAAATGGTGGAGGTAGAATTCAGTCCCAAGCCTGTCTGACAATAGCAGGTGAACTTGCATGTTGCTGACATCAGCCTGGTTCACATGCTTCCCTCTGGCACCTACGTATCAAGTCTATGAACTGTAGATGTCTTTGTAAAAAAGTAGAAAACAAAGAACACTACAATCAGATCTGCTCTATTGGACCCTACGGACAAGTACGTTATCGAACGGTTGTTTACCTGAAATCCTAGGGCTTTCCAGACAGTTCAGTCAGACAAGTGTTACATCATTCACCTGTGAGTGAAGAATGAAACTTTTCTTTGAAACACCAGCAGGCTGTGATCTATATATTTGGCTTTACCAGTTCCATGGTAGAGAAGAGCTCTGTGGCCTCCTTGGGTCACAGCCTTCTCAGGCACTTGGCCAATATTATTACTGTTCCATGTTGGTTCCAATATATTTGATTGTCCTTAACATCAAGTGGAGAGGATTTAGTCGAATGGACTTCTTCCTCTTGTCGTTATTAAGAATAAATGAGAAGAGAGTGTGAGGCATTCCATATTAGACAAGAAGGAGAAGGAATGAATGGTAAGGACGCTTTAAATCATTCCATACTGTGTGGTATAAAATAATCCACGTGTTTGTTTTGCTCCTAAATCATCCAATTTTAGAATTGGAAGGGAACTTTAAGAGGCCATTTAGCCTGGTTCATTTATTTTATCTATTTTTAAGTAATTTTTTATTGATTTTTTTCTTTGTTACAAAAGTAATACATGTCCATTATCGATGATTAAAAAAAAAAAAACAGAGATAAGCAAAAATAAGAGAGAAAAATACCCATGATCTCACTTTCCAGACGAAGCCACTATTGTACATTTTTTTTGTAATTTCTTCCTTCTCTTTTTAAATAGATAAACATGTAAAATTTCCACCAAAAATTAGATTATTCTGTAATAGTGTAACCTGTCTTTTAACTTAATATCTTTTCATATAACTTCATATGCTTCCACAATCTTGTTTTTAATGGCTATAAAATGTTCCATTGCATCACTGAACTATAAATGATACTGCTATTTCTATATCATTGAACATTTAGTTGTTTCTAAATTCATCCTGGTTTAAATGGTACTGTAACGTTTATCCATATATCTTAATCTTTGTGCACATCTATGTTTTTATTTTCTTTTTTCAAAAGCTCTAATAGTGATCCTACCACTTTCACTCTACAGAAGACAAAACTAAGGCACAGAGATGGGAATTTGGTTGCCCAAAGCCATCCAGCAAATTCTTAACAGAGCTAAAAGTGGAACCTGAGATTTTAAATGTCCAGTTATTCCTTTTAGTTAGGTCTATTTCTACTAAACTTCAGCTGATTCCTAAAATCCAGTGTCTAGATTAATTTTTAGAAATCATGGAGTTCGAGGCTCCTGTTCTTCCACTGTCCCTTCCTGTCCCATGGCCATCACTTATCAGGCATGGAACTTTTTCCCCCTTAGTTGGACCAGGTCTCTGTCCATCTCAACATAACACTTCACGAATCCAAAACCAACATAACACTTCCTGAATCCATGAGCCGCTTCATGAATCCAGAATCCAGAACCAGGATACTTCATGACTCCACTTCATGCATAAGAGTGACCATGTAATAGGAAACCTATCTTACATCCTTGGTCCAACTCCTTTGTTACACCAGCAAGGAGAATGCAGTTCCCGGAAGGAAGGTCTTGCTCAAGTAGTTAAGAGGAAGTTAATGGCAGCAATAAGACCATAATAGTTAGTCTGGACAGAAAGCACGATGCACCTTTTGCCTTTTCGTATATTTTTATTGCACAATAATTTACCTCATTTGAGCCTTCCTACAATTTTATAAAGGCAGATATTAGTATGCCCACTTTACAGTTGGGAAAATTCACGCATAAATTTAAACAAAGAGACATTAAGGCTAGATACTATTCTGTGTCATTCATATGCTATGCTTGCTTTGCCCACTAATCCTCCTGATAATGGTATCCAGACATTTCTTGGGATTGGACAGCAGCAAGGATGTCTGCTCACCAAGGCCTGAGCTGGGGAGCTCATCTTTCTTTGTCTCCCTCCAGGAGAATTCCTGAGTTTTGCCGATGACTTACTCTCTGGCCTGGGCACATCTTGTGTAGCAGCTGGTCGAAGCCATGGAGAGGTCCCTGAAGTCAGTATCTACTCCGTCATCTTCAAGTGTCTGGAGCCCGACGGTCTCTACAAGTAAGATGTGCTGGGTGCGTGGGGGATGTGAAACAAGATGATTTCAAGTCTGGGAGGCAAGGCATGAGTAATCTGTCCAGGCAGCCAAGCGTTTTATAGACAGCCTGTATGTGCACCTTCAGATGCTAAGGTTTGGAAGCATCCATTGGAGAAGTGTGGCCACAATAGGCCACAGAATCACACAGGGTTAGTGCTGGAGGGCCCAGGGAGGCCAGGAACACAAAAGCATTTCTTCTAGTGATAAATAATCTGCAGCCCAGAGAGGAAAAGTGGTGAGTTAGCAAGGAGGGCTGGGATAGGAGTCCCTGCCTGGCATTCTTTTCTCAATTCCATGATATCCCCTCTGAAAAAATACTTAGATTCGTATATCTGAAGTATGTATGCATGCAGCGTATATATATGACATATATATACGTATGTATGTATGTATATATATATTTGTTATTGTTAGTTTTATTAGATTCAGCTTCCCCCTCCTTAGAAATAGTGCCATTATCATTCCTTCACAAAATATCTTAGAGTTACTGCATCCAAACTTCTAGTGATGCAAAAGGAAGTCATTCTGAGGCTCATCTGTTAATCTTAGAAAAGGGGCTTGTTTTTCTTTTGTTCTCCCCTCGGTGAGCATTTGCCACATTGAGATGCATCCATCAAAACCTATAATATAGAGTTCTAGAGACAAGCTTTCTTCACGTACCCTAGTTACAAAACTATAGGGCACCTCCCTTAGCCTAGAAAGCTGAAGTTATTAACAAGGAGGGCATTATCCACAAATTATTGAACTCAGTTATGTTTTTCTTTTATTTACTCAGTGATCCATTCATTTATCCATCCTTTACCCAATCATTAATCCATCCCTCCTTCCATCCCTTTCTCTCCCCCTTCTTCCCTTTCTCCATCTATCTCATTCATCCATATATCTGTTCTTCCTCTCTTATACTCCATCATTCATTCACTTATTTATTCATCACTTCTTTCATTCATTCCATTTTTATGTATTCATTCATTCACTCATAACTCATTTACTTATTCAGCAGACATTTTCTGAAGAGTTCCTATGACTTGGTACTGAGCTAAGAAATGCAGGTATGAATGTGACTACGACAAGGGTTCTATTCTCAAATAACTTAGAACTTAATGGTGGTATGAAAGGCCACAGACCGTGAATTCCGATCTGGCTTTGACATTTTTAGTTATGTCATCCTTTACCTCTATAAGCCTCAGTACAACAGTAATAATAAAACCTAGTTTGCAGAGGCACATGAGAATTAAACAAAAAACACCTCAGCACAGTATGTATGTGCTCAGTAAGTATTAACCCCTTCACAATGTGAATCTCTTTCACCTCCAAACCGTATCCCATCCCCACTTCCTCTGGAAGGCCATGACTTTTCTAAAGACCATGGCATACCTTAGAATATCCAACATATTCAGGCTCATTGGTAACACCCAACACATTCATGCACCAAACTCAGGAATATCCCTATAAGCTAGAGACTGGACCTCTGACCCTGGCTCTGCCACTGACTATCTTGTAGATGTTGGGATCCAAGTTTTACTTTGTACAGAATAGCAAAATCAATTGGGGACAGTGAGAGCTCTGGAAATGGAATCCCCAAAATACAACAGGCTATCAAATCTCTTCTGGTGGGACATCTTGGCAAACCTGCCAGAGGAAGTAGCATTTGCCTCAAGCCTTAAGTGCTGACCTGGGATCCAGATCTTGAGAGCATGACTCCACTGCCTCTTAATCAATAAGTGCTGACACCAACCTCTGGGTGTCCAGGACCACCGCATCTATTAAATGTATGTGACTAGATTAAGAGCTCTGAAGCCTTTTCCAACTCTGAAAACTGATTATGTGAAGAAAGTAACATTTTTGAAAGATTTCATGATGACTGGCTTCTGGTCCCTTTGTCCCTCATTAAGCACATAGACTGGAGGCAGACAGATCTGGATTCACATCTCTACCCTGCACTTACCAGCTGTGTGACACCTAGTGAGCCTGTCAACCTTCTGAGCTTCCATGTCCTCCTCTGTGAAAATGTAGATAATAACAGTGTCTGGTGCACTGGGACCCAAAGTGGATTTGATAAGCTAGTGCACAAAAGCTCTCCACTTGGTGATGAGTTCCCAGTAAGAGCGTAAGAAGTGTTAGCTGTTATCACTGTTGTTCTTGTTGTCCTTGTTGGGCTAATGGTTAATTTTAATCCCCTCCCCGTCCATTCACCAACTACTGGGAAAACATCTAGCAGAGAGGGCCAGAGCCCTGGAAGGTGGTTCCTATCCAGTGAGAAACAAGTAGTAACCCTGTCTCTGGGTGACATTGTAGAGTCTGGGCATTAGGCAGTCTGGAATCCTACAGGCCTGTTATGTAGAGAGCAATGAAATGTCTTATGGAACCCCAAAAGCAATTAACCCTGAGAGCTGACAAATCAGTCGAATCCTTTCAAGATGATGGTGGTTTTCCCTCACCTCTTCTTTCCCTTACTGCTTAACACCCATGACCCCCTTGCCATGTCTTTAAGTAGGACCATCCTTTCTTCTTCTCTCCTGGAAATGTATTTGTCATGAGTTGGTCATCCTAACTCTGAACACTTCTTTCTTTTATTTTCAAAACTGATTTTATTAAATGGCTGTGGAATCTGGGCTGCTTCGACAAGGATCCCAGGGTGTGGTTTGGACCCATCTCTCATCCTATTGGTGACTCTCCTTCCATGAAGTCTGACCAACACGGTCGCGAGTTTTAAAATAGTTCCATTGTCAGTTCTTGGGGCTTCTTCTTTTCTGCTTGCTCATTCCTTACCAAAATCAGTTTTCTTACTCTTGGGTCAAAAAGGCTGTGTATGGAAGTAGGAAGAGCATGGGCTTTGGGGACAAACTAAACTGGGTGCAAATCCTGATTCTGCCCTCTACTCATGACCTGCCCTGGGGAAAGTCATTTCTCACTGCTCGATGCAACAGTGTCTTCCTCTGGAAATAGGGAGCTGGTAATTGTTCTCATATCACGGGGTTAAAAGGAAGAGCAGTACGTGACAAACTCCACAGACAGGGGTTGACCAGAATGCCTTGCATATAGTTACTGCTTTGTTCTTCTTGACTCCATCACTTGGTATCTGTGTCTCTTCCAAGGACAACCAAGGGAGAGCCATTTCCTATGGAGCAGGTTGAGGTGCTACTGGCCCAGGATCCTTTGGGAATGAAATAGAATGAAAAGAGAGCATGAGCCCACACCCCTGAGTTTTAATTAAGCACAGGGCACCAAATCCCCCATCCCCCCCGCAGAGATATAATAGGATTCAGGTGGAGAGGGCCAGTCTCTCAGGCAGGAAGTCTGCATTCACATCTCACTACCACCACTTCCATCTCTGGGACCTTGGGCTAAACGTTCATGTCCCCTTCTTGTTCTGCAGTTCTGGCACCTTCAAAGTGAAGGTGTGTTAGATCCACCCCAGCCTGAGAGTTCAGAGAATGCATACTTTTGCCACGAGATTTCTTCTCATTCTTTCTCTCCCTTCTTCTCCTCCTGGGCTCCTGCCCTTCCTGCTTTTCTGCCTCTCTCGTTTTTACCCCACTGTGCCTCCTTGTGTCTCTGTTCATCTCTCCTGCCTTTCATTCATTCTCTGTGTAAGTCTATTCTTCATAGCTTGCTGTCTGTGTCTATCTGCCATTCTCCCTTTCTGACTTTGCCTTTCTCTTTGTTATTCTCTTCTGTTGTTGTGTGTGTACCTCAGTTTCTCTGTCCTGTTTCTTATTTGAGTGTGGGTTCCTCTCTCTTCGTCTCTCTCTCTCTCTCTCCGTCTCTCTCATTCTGTCTTTCTCTCTCTCTCTCTCTCTCTCTCTCAATCTCTACTCCCTCTCTTCAGTCCACCAAGGAAGGCAAATTACTTTTGCAGCCCCTTTATCCATGTAGTTTTACAAAGCACCACTTGGTTGAGACCAATTGTGGGAGGGAAAGTCAAGGCTGATTCTCTGTCCTAAGCTCACCCTGGTGTAGCAAAACAGAAACCTCAGCATTTGAGCCCTGTCTAAATTGAATTTCCTTGTTTGTTTCATTTGTTTTGCTTTTGAATGAAAACAAACAAAGAGAAGCAGAGGAGAGGGTCCCCAGAAGGTCTGAAAGTGTGGCCAACTCCTGCACCCTTGGGTTGTTGGAACTGGAGAGTGACCCTGAGAAGGAATCTCCACTCACAGTGGATGGGTCAGGCCGGGCTAGGCATCCATGGTCTTCCCTGCCCTTGCCTGGCTAGAGGCCTAGATACCCTTCTTGTCACTGCTCCTCAATTTCCTATTACCCAAGGTAATTAGCCTCTGTCTTGTCTTGGCTGCTTTGCCTTTCTCAAACCATGGATGACTGCCAAAGGGTCCTGAGCAAACATGCAGTGGCAGCCAGGCCCAATTCCCGGGGAGGGGGGCTCATTCCCACACATTCAGAGGCTTGCCCCAGGCCCGTCCTTCACCTCCCTGGCCTCAGCTCTCTGAAAAGAATGCCAAGGGAGCCTGGGTACTACAACCACATGCCAACATCCATGGTGGGGCCAGAGGCTTGGGGGAGGAGAGGGGTTCCTTCTTAGCAGGGATGGGTGGAGTTGGAGGAGAGGAGTAAAAGGAAAACCAGGGCCCTAGAGAAGGGAAAGCATTGTGAAGAAAAAGCCTGAGGTCAGGAGTCAGACAGCAGTTCCCACACTTGCTCCCAGTGAGACCCAGAGCCAGTTCTTCCACCTCTGCCTTGATGTTCTCATCTGTGAAATGGAAAGGTTAAACTCTGTGCTATGAGAATTGCGCACCTCTGAGGTGGGGATTAAGACTACACCAAAGTCCTGATTCTCAGTGCCTCTGGTACTTCCTGGATAATAGCAGTAGCGGGGAGAGTAATAGTTGACTGAGCACTCCCTGTGTGCCAGGAACCATGCTAAGGATGATGTTGGGTGTGCTATCACGTTTAATCCTTGCCATAATCCTGTGGATCTGGTATCACCATCATCATCGTCATCACCTCC